TCACGGGTGAAGGTGATGATGGGGTTGATGGAAATTGTGATTTCGGGGTGCATAGATTTTTCGTAAATAAAAGAAAATTGAGGCTGGCAGGAGCGCTTTTAAAATGTCGAACCATGTGCAAAGCAACATGCCAATGTGTCGAAGGTATGTATTTTGATTTATTTCACATCCCACGTTGCCAATCGTGCTAATCCGAGGTATGAAACAAGGACAACTAAACACAAAAAAATCAGGGTATGGTGACATACTCGACACCGATGGGGAGTTTCACAACATTTGTGTTATCCACCAATCCTCGCTGCGTCCAGAGCTGAATTACAGGCCACGTGAAGCATAGCCATCACCACGGCCACGAGGAGCCCCTAATTCACAGAGCCAGCTCTCGTCCAAAGTTAAACATGGGCAACTCCACCCAATTCAACCATCACCATCATCTCTACGCGGTCTAATACGTGTTCAATTAATGCGTATTGTCCGTGACGAAACCATCAGAGATATGGACAATGATAACGCTGAATAAAAAGCTCAAAAATGTCGCAACGAAACGTGGAGAGGCGCATACGTTGTAGGGGTTACACGGAGCTGCAGAGAGCGGAGAACGCATTGGCGAGAGAACAAACGGGGACCGCTTGGACGAGGGCACAGGACGGTGGCCGGTGGAGCAAAACAAATAACGGCGGAGTGGAGTGGCATCACAGTGGGAGGGCGATTCTGATGTTAGAGCAAGGCGCTGATGATGATGGGGTTTAAACCCAGGGGTCACGCGGCTCTTTATGGACTGCTTCGTGACGGTTATTTATTTAGGACCACCGTCTCGTATTCACACGCATTGTGGCTCTTGAAATCGTTTTTTTTGTTTGTTTAAATACTGAATTCGAAAAAAATGTCTCCTTGTTATTTTAATTTCCGAACAAAGATGTAACCTTGTTAAAAGATGCAACCCGACACTTACGGACGTCAACATCACAGTCGATGCCTGCCCAAAAAGAGCAGCTTTCAGCAGGCCTCGCCGCTGATGAGACAGTGCACGGTCAAAACCGGTCTCCTGAATGATGCGCTCCCCACTAGGCCGTCTGTTCGATGGGCTGTGTAAAACATACTTCTTTTCCACATGCATTGTGTTTAACATTTTTTCCCCACTTGCATTGCGTCTCTTTAAATATAGTTTTTTATACCGAATTCGAACAAAAAAATGTCTCTTGTTCTTTTGGTTGCCGCGCCCTGCGTTCAGAGCAAGGCTGCTGCTGATGATGATGAAGGGAATTAGTTATTATTGTTATTGCAGGGGTCGGATTCCAAAAATAACCAAAAAAATCTAATTTTTTGTTCGGATTTAGCAATACGAGACGGCGGGTCATGAATTAAAAAAAATATATAACTCACGAAGCTGAGACCTTTTAAAGAGCCGCATGCGGCTCCGGAGCTCCTCGCGGGTTGCCGCCGGCCGCTGGGTTGAATGGAACTCGTGGAGTTGGGGGAATAACAGAGAGGGGGGGGACAGATGCTCGTGGAAGCGGCCCCCCGCGCGTGGCCCCCCACGTGGCCCCCCCGCGCGGCCCCCCACGTGCTCCCCACCGCGTGGCCCCGCGTGCCCCCCCCGCGCGGCCCCGTACGTGGCCCCGCACGTGGCCCCGCACGTGGCCCCCCCGCGCGGCCCCCCACGTGCCCCCCCCCACGTGGCCCCCCACGTGTTCCCCACCGCGTGGCCCCCGGCGTGACCCCCCACGTGGCCCCCCACGTGCCCCCCCCCGCGCGGCCCCCCACGTGCCCCCCCCCCACGTGCCCCCCCCCCCCCCAAGAACGGGGAGCCCCGCGTTGCCCGCGGCGGCCACCGAGCGTCGCACTCCAGGAGGCAAGCCGCACGCCTCACCAGCTACACCAGCACATCGGTGAAGTGAATCGACTGTCGGTCGAGAAGAGAGTTCACCTCCACCTCCCATCACCCGACGGATGCGTTCGAGGGGATCGCGGGTGTGTTGAGAGTCGTCTCTTTGTGAAGTGTGCGCATAGCTGTTAAAACCTTATCAGTGCCCCCCCCCTCTACCTTATCACGGACCAATTCAGACCTCGTCGGACGTCACCCCGTGCCCCTGATCAATCTCAAGGTTCATTCACCACAAAGTCCCATCACGAGGGAGAAACACAAACACACACACACAGACGAAACATGTTTTTGTTGTGCCCGTATTGAAACGGCTGTACGCCGTGTGGAACCTGCAAGCTCAAGTTTGCCTGTACAAGAATACGGTGTACACCGTATGGGTTGACACGGTGTGTGTGTGTGTTGGTGTGTTATACATCGTGCCACTTGGGAAGGGGGTCTAAGTGTAAATGTGTAAATTGTGACGACCCGCACGCTAATCGCGACGGAGATTCAAACGAAACGTTCAACCGCGATAACGGATTCTTAAATCTCGTTGACCTGTACACCAGACGGAGCGTATGCATAGTCTCACACATACACACACACCGTCCTGTATAAAGACAGAGTATGGCATCAACAAGACTACGGAACAATCTGTGTAAAAAAGAGCTTTATAGCTCATCGGATTCCTCCAGTATGAACACATTATGAATGTTGAGGGGAAGCGTCTGTTTGTTTGCAAAGGCCCAGGTCAATGTGTGAATACTGTACTTTGTGAATGTCGTGATACAGTCTATAGTTGTGAACTGAATACCTATCAACCCTTTATCAGTGCCCCCTACCTTATTACAGACCAATTCAGACCTTATTGGTCACACCGTGCCTTTATTATAAATGTCAACGTTCATCCTACGAAGTCTCATCACAAGGGAGAAACACAGACACATTTATTTTCCCCGTATGGACCTGAAAACTAAATTTCCCTGTACTAGAATACGGGGTAAACTTTACGAGTTGACAAGTATGGAACTCCATAATACAAAGCTCTTTTGGGGGAGTTAGCTCACGTAAATATATAAATGTTGTGTCGTTAAACCCGCCAACCACCCGACACAGCCAAACTAGTAAGGGTTGTCACGTAAACAGAACGGGCCCAATTCGTTACTATTACAGCACCACCGGTGTGTTGGCGAGCAAATCCACATTTACAATCTGAGTCCGACGTTTCGCCATTAACTACAACTAGCATAATCAGGCGGACAGCCAGATTTGCGTTCGGGTGATGTATGACATTGGTCGCTAAAGCCTACTTCGTGTTAAACAGGTATGGGAAGTGTCTTCCATGTCCGCAAAGGGTTCCTTGGTACGAGATCATACATACCATACATCTTGGTAGTCGTCGCCAGCAGTGGTTTCAGGTCTCGCCGCTGCTGATGAGGCACCGAAACGTCGAAACCGGCCCAGAGTTTGAATCAATGCCGTTGTGCAATCCCCACCAGAAGGCTGATGGGATGTTTAGAAACATAGTTTTGTGGGTTCTTTTTTTAATGCCCTGGGACAGATGCGGGAAGGAGACGGAATTTTCCCGCTTATGTATGTTCCATACATCGACGTCGATCAAAGTATCGACGATTGAGTTATGATTGCCATAAACCGATTGATTCTCACGCGTGCAGTACAATACTGTACCAGCAACAAATCGATACTCGATGACTGGACGCGTGAATAAAGAGTTGCTATATTAGGCTTGTACTGTATGACGAACCTCCCGAGTTGCACACGAACATATACTGTAAATCGTAGTCAATGGCTTTGCTACCTTCAAGTGCCAAGCGGCCAGCAACGCACAGCACTAATATGAGTCGTGCTGCAAAAGCAAACATTAAACTCGTACGAATTGTGTGGTCGAGCCGTGCGAGGAAAGTTTCGTGTAGCACCTCGTTTAAAACGTCCTCATTTACAATGCGGTAATTTATATGCGAAAATGTAAGTAAGATTGTTTTAGCATCAGTGAAGCGTCGTACACGGAACTCGTGTGAATAACTTGCACCGTATTTACAGTTTTAAAAGAAGTAACATACAGACTCGTGTATTTACAACATCGATGTGAGCTAACACTGTGCCGTACCGAGCGCTCGCTAATCCATTACGTAAATGTAGTTGCGCCTCGTAAAATAAAACTAAAGGCGAGAGATGCATCGGAGCACGTGGCCTCAAAGTGCACCTAGCCTGGCACAAGCGCCGTGGTGACGTCGCCTCCACTTCATGGCGGTTTGTTGTAGCCTAATGACGACGGAAATATGCCACGAAAGTACAAGTCGTGTGCCTTACCACACGTGGCACTGCAGAGCAGAAGCTGCACCTTGTGGATATAAACAGGTCCCTGCAGGGTGGGCTGGTAGGATAATGTGACTTCCAAATGTTGGGTGCGATAAGACATATCAAGTCTCTGCGCTGTCTATTGCTGATTTTACACCCAACAGCACGAGATTTCACTTCGTTAAAGTATTGAAAGGGGACGGACGGACGGACACATTAATCTATTGCAGGCTGGTACACTCAGTTTACAACTTCGTTCCTACCAGTATAAGTACACCCCTTGGGAGCAGCGCCAGCTGTGGTTGGATCCCAAGCAGCATGCTTGGATCAAAAGTTTCCCATTTCATTTCCCCTCCCAACCACCAGTGTGTAATAATGCATTGCTTATACCACAACTGTGCTTATTACGTAGATTCAACTGTGTTGGTAAAATGTGTACGTGTATGCAAATCCACTGGTGTGTTTTCTTCCATTAAACCCCCAGGTTGACTCTCACCATGGGTATCTTGAACTCGATTCTACCAGGAAACACAAAGGCTGACCAAGACCTCATTGCTGTGTCAGACAATCACCCGTGTGCTGACCGTGCCCGTGAGCCTGACTGTAATCCTGGTCAGTGCCGAGACAGTTCGATCACCAGTCACTCGCCGGCAGAAGCCCTTGTCCCTCCCACAGCTATTATTTCCTCGCTGGATATCGAGACAGACTTTGTGAACCGAAGTTGTCATTTAGGTGACGCCATCTCTACCCACTGTAAAGGCACAGCTGATACATCTACCACGAGGGGAGATGCCCCAGAAAAATCCACACCACACAACCAACCTTCAACAAAATGCAGGCCAATATCACCGACAAGCGACATTCAGTCTGCGGTGGCCACTCAACTGCCAGGTGGGACAGAACCAAGTGACGTCGGTGGGTTGGCAGAGGCACAGCAGGATGCCACATCTCACTTGGAAGCAGTGGTCAGGCTTGATAAAAATAAACAAGAAAGCCCTCTTGTTCAAGAGTCTACATGTGACCCTGCCAAAGCTGCAGTTCCAAAGCCCACGAATCAACTACCTTCAGCCACAGCTAACAGGCACCCGTGCACAGATATAAGCCAACCGTTAGTAAAAAAGCCTGGCAAACAAAACAGGAGGAATAAACAGCATCAGGTGGGTGTGCATAATCGTGCAGCCAAACTCTTGCCACCAAAGCCTATTGCTGAGCCAAATTCTACAATAGTTTCGATGGCGATATATTACAAAAAGCTCGACAGTTCTGCCAGCAAGAATTCCATGGTCAGAGTCTATACTGTTTCACCAAAAAATCGAGCCAACAGCCAAATCCCCCTTAAGAAGGTATCTAGGACTGACGCAGCGGAGGTCACGACACTGGAAACTGTAGCAAAACAAGTGTTGCAAAGTAATGTACGTGCTTATAGCCAAAGTGCAAAACAGGTGGAACAACAGAGTAGAGAAAAGAGTGATCATGACCTGAGCGTGGCCGCACCTCCAACTGTGGATCAACCTGCCCCGCAAACATCGTCGATCGACAAAGCTGATGCGCCAGCCCAACCACAGCACTCATGCCAGTACTCGAGACCCAACAGTTACATCCAGGCTATTGAAACACCTCCCCATATTATTTCAGTCAAAAGTCCAAGAGTACCTTGCGCTGACGGTACACCGGGCAACGGTAAAGCAACCGCGGTGCTGGTTAGTTCATCACAGGGTTTGGAGGAGAAGAGTAAAGAGAGGGGAATGCCTACAAAGGAGACTGCCGTCACCATAGAGGGTGGAATGGAGAAGAAAGAGGAGGAATCTGTAACCAAAGTTCCACCCTGCATGGCAACTGTTCAGCCACAGGATAAGGATATTTGTAGTACTCGCCCTCATGATACAAAGGCCAAGACAACACACGGCAGTCACGGGGCCGATACAAGGAGCAGCACCAGCACTCGTGTTGCCATCGGCGCAAATGCAATCACGATCGTGAAGAAGAGCACCCACACAATAACACAAGTTCGTGGTGGCAACCCCACCGGAAAAACACAAATTGCTGCTGCCACCTTCAGCACCATGATGCCGGTCGACAACAGTGCCAGCAAGGGAGACTTCATTATAGGTGCGAAGACAAATGTCACCACCAACATTACCATGAGCACTGCAGTGGATAAGACTATGAGCAGCGTAAGTCCTGCCTCCCCACACGACACGGTCACCTCCAGCAACGCTACCCACGAAGCGGCGGCCACCTCTAGCACCGCGGCCAAGAGCAAAGCTATCAGCGTGCACCCTCGAGACGATGCCACGAGTGCGTGCGACGTAAATAAAGCGAAGGGAGCGGAGGACATGGCCCCTGTGCGCAGAGGTACGGGACGCTTCCCTCCCTTTGTGGTGGAAGGAGAGTGCAAGCACCGCGCGGCGAACAAGGCCAGCAAGCATCTCGAACGAACGCCACAAGGGCGACGATGAGACCGCCAAAAGGTAACGTTTCAATTCAACAGGTAACAACAAGCAAACATTTACACGGACCACCCAGCCCGCCGATCCATGTTCTTGGTTCAAAACACATGCACTTCTCTCTCTAAATAAGAGATACATACACAAAATCGTATTACTGGAACGTACAATTTTTTATGCAGCTATAAGGGTTTTTTTTAGGGAGGGGGTATTTAGATATTAGGGTTATGGTAGTTTAATGAAGGTAGTCCACCTAACTTAATTTCAAATTAAATATGAATAAAATATGAATTTATGTCTGACACAAAAGGTATAAAATTGACATTATTTCCAGATCAACCTGTGCATTTGCATCACAGACCTGTGGACCACCTGGAGGGCCGTCGCAGACCACTGGTGGTCCAGGGACCACACTTTGAGAACCACTAGCATAGACTGATGGGCCAAGTGCTGTTAGCAAGTACTTATTAATTTGCGAAGTGCCAACTTTTATTCTGCTCGATCGTACAAACTACTCTACTCATCACTGTGATGTTAACTTAAAGAAATGGTTATCACCTCCCCTTTCAACTCGGAGGGAGATGCATTGGGCCAAGTTAATCTCTAATACATAATACACATGTAACTCAAACCCTTATCTATCCGCAGTGTTTTTTCAGGACCAAAATCCTCAATCTTTGACACTACGCAACACTAAGTGCACTGTACCGAAGACAAAAAAAACTCACATGGTTCTCATTGAGTCTCTATAAATGCCTCAAACACCTGAAATTCCATCACTTTAAACATGTCCTTGATTTCTCTTCCATCTAAAGCACAATTTGATGCTCAGCTGTTGATTATTTTAGATAGCGTCACTTGAAATTGCATTTGACTCGTATATCCTTGTCAATTTACATATTTGTACAAGTCACCCTTTATCTTACTCTTTGGTTCTTTCGGTAAAGTCACGTAGATAGAAAAAAATAACTAATAAATCACGACGTTTCGATAGCAACACAAGCCATCGTCTTCAGGTGAAACAATACAGCAGGCGGTCTGCTGAGGAGGAAATGTAGCGAGAGAGCTACTGCAACCAAAGGTTGTATACGTTTGTGGTGGGTACAACCCAAGTGGACGGGACTATGGATGGAATTTGCAAGTAAGTGTAATCGCAGAGAGGATAGGGGTGGGTGACCTCGGCTAATCCGAGGAGGGGGGAGGAGGGGGGGCTGCCGCAACGGGCGAAAGAGTGGGGTGAAATTTCCAGAGGGAAAAAGGTGATGGAGACAAAAAAAGAAAGAAATAAGTAATATTTTTAAAACTTTTTTTAAAAAAACGCTTTTATGAAATGTACCGTACGAGTGATGGCAGAACTCCGCGACTCCAAGAAGTGGCCGCAAAGCTTGCCATAACGTAAGGGGACCGTGGTGATTTACAGCCAACGTGAGTTGAGCGTGGACAATTAGACCCAAGCCGAAACATAACATATACAAAAATAATGTTTAAAAATATATTTTATATATTTTTTATATAGAATATAGTATTGTCATCAGTATGACATAAGTATAACAAGTTTGCAGTCGATACCACATTGGAAAGTGGGTTAAAATTGAGTTACAAGATTTGAGGATACGACAACAACAATAGTGAGTTAAATAAAATATCAAACTTAGAAATATAATACAATTCAGAGAGTCGGCCCAACACAACAGTTAACACTTTAACTGGTTGATCAACGTCCTTCCAAAGATTGCTAAATGTTGCATCCATCTTCTCCGTTGAAGTAATGTCTGAGTTATGCGGAAATCCTCCCCGTGGTGGCGGTTCAATCTTGATTGGAAGCTTTTGTTTCGATTTAAAGCTTTCGTGACTGCAGGGATTCGTCTTCTTGATTCTTGCGGTAAAGTCACATAGAATGGAAATACAATAATAAAAAGAAAACATAATAAAATTCTCACGACGTTTCGGCCACAACACAAGTAGCCTTCTTCAGGTGAAGGAACAGAACTGTCGGAACGACGGCGCTTCATTGAACACTGCTAAGATTCGCAGCGTCTTTTAAGCTAGGTGGGAGAAGTAAAGCGCCTTGACAAAGGAGTTTACATATCAAAGAGGAGAATTTAGCATTGAAATAGCTGTGTTAAAGTGTTGGATCAGCAGGGTGTTAAAGTCAGAAATTAGCATGTAACTGGGAGATTAGCATGGTGTCAATGTGAGGGATTAGCATGTGACTGGTCACGGAAATAGCTATGTTAAAGTCAAAGTTTACATATCAACAGAGGCATTTAGTATGTGGACGCTAAAGGGTTGCAACTACCCCAACTATCATACAATAAACCGATGTGAAAAAACTACGTATAAACTAAATCAATATAATTAATTTACTCAATATATTCTTCAATAAGTTGAGCTATTAACATAAAGTAACTGGGTATACACTACACTATATAATGAATACCATATAGTAAACTAATAAAAACTAAAATATAAACTACATCAATGTTATCAATAAACTCTATATACTCTCCAATCAGCTGAGCTACTAACAATAAGTCGTTATACATTACAATGCCATATGGCGAAAAAAAAACTGAGGGCACCCCAATGCGCTCCCCCCTATCTCCGGTTGTAACCAACGTTTTCATGGAGAAATTTGAAACAGCCACCATCCAGACTGCCACTCTACGCCCGACCTTATGGAAGAGGTACGTGGATGACACTTTTGTCATCTGGCCACATGGCCGGCCTGCTCGACCACATCAATTCCATACACCCAGCCATCCGATTTACCATGGAAGTCGAAAAAGATGGCAAGCTACCCTTTTTGGATGTTTTAATTAAAAAGAGACTTGATGGTTCAATGAGCCACTCTGTCTACAGGAAAGCTACCCATACGGATGCTTACTTAAAAATTCTCCCACCTAGCTTAAAAGATGCTGCGAATCTTAGCAGTGTTCAATGAAGTGCTGTCATCCCGACAGTTCTGTTCCTTCACCTGAAGAAGGCTACTTGTGTTGTGGCCGAAACGTCGTGAGAATTTTATTTTATTATGTTTTCTTTTTATTATTTTATTTCCATTCTACGTGACTTTACCGAAAGAACCAAGAAGATGAAAGCTTTTGGTAAAGACGATGGAGATTGTGTTGCTATCGAAACGTCGTGATTTATTAGTTATTTTTTCTATCTCCGTGACTTTACCGAAAGAACCAAAGAGTATGAATTCCTGCAGTCACGAAAGTTTCAAATCAAGATTCACCCTTTATCTGTTTAATGTTTTTTTCTATTTTGTAATTGTATTATGATCAGTGCAATATTTTTTTATTTCTCATGAGACAGTTCTTTGTGTTCTAATTCCTGTTTGCTTAATTGCTATACTTTGCTTAGTTTTGTCATATTTGTGGCCCAGGTCACTCTCACAAATGAGATTATGCTGGTCTCCTGAGTTCTCACCTGATTAAGCAAAACAAATTTGAACCTACTAGCCAATGAATTTGAATGTATAGATTACTGTAAATTATTGATATGCAGGCGAGGCATGAGCTGGCGTTGTGTTCTATCCACGCAGGGAGCTCCAGGAGGGATGGACCTCCGGAGATGTGCGTGCTCACCATTCTTGCCTTTCTCGTCGCTTGGACGTCCACCTCAACGCCTCGCTCGTTCTTGGCTGAAGACAGCCTGCAATGCTATTTTTTAGTGCATCTACGAATGTGACTTGTTTTCATAGGCATAGACAATTCTTAAAATATTCTACAGGTCTCAAGTTATTGCATGCAATTGTTAAAAAAATAATATATCGCCAAGGGAGATAAGGAAGCGCCCTTGTATGGTAACGCAAATCAAATCCTTTATTTATAATGTCACATTTATTTTCCAAGAACGTAAAGTATCCAAGAGGAATTATCTTTTTTACAAACTGTTGGGTATAATTATTTTTATTTTGAAATGTTTGTACCACGAGATCAGCACACCACAGGAGCCTTTTAAATAAATAAAAAAATATAGGTTTATAGCCATGGATAAGGAAAAGGTGCGTCTGTATAACTGGTGTCATGAGAAAGGGCCACATGTAGAAGTAGCAGATTACTTCATTTAGGTAGCCATTATACATAATGCAGTGTGCCTTCAAAATAACGGGCTAACTCTGAGGTGGAGTGCCCTGGTAAATGTATTTTTCTCAAGCAATCCGTTATATATATATGAAGACAAGATTTAGGCCATTTACACCCTAAACTTGTTATAGATTGTTTTATATTACAAAACATCAAATATACGACAAAATACATTTTAAAGACACCATTGCCCCATAGAAAATCACATGCGAGCTATCCAGTTAACAATCCTTTTGCATTTTTGAGCTTCAGGAGTGTGAAAAAAAACAGATGCAGAGTATTATCAGGGCACCGTTTGTTATTTTCTAAACGTAGGTGTTTTTGAGATCCGAGTGTTGTCTGTTATTGTACATGGAAGATAGCTGAAGTCAAGCTACTATAGAAGGGCCTTCTTGTCTTTGACTACACTTATACGTTCCTTGCCAACATATCCTCTTTAGTTTCTAAATTTGAAAAGCATTAACTAACTCTTGAATCACTGATACAAAAGTATTTTTGATATGGTCCACAAGAGGTAAAGTTATTCTCTTGCTGGTCACCAACAAATTCATTAACATTCTACAAATGACGACCTACCTAACTCTTATCTTCACTTTGCACATATCAAAATTCCACAATATTTCACTAGATATATTTCTCACGTATATATGCGCATAGGTTGAATTAGCCATACGTTACATGGCAAAGGGCTCGCTACCGTCTGATTGTTTAGCCGAATTGTTGATATTTTTGACGGGCGCTGCAAGCGTGTAACTACAGCTGTTAACAATTAAAGGCACTACATTTTGATTTAAAGCTTTTGTGACTGCAGAGGTCACGTTGAACGTGACTTTACCGAAAGAACCAAGAATATAAATTAAGGGCACTGTCAAGTTATTTTAACTACACTTAACGTCTCTCCTCTCCCGTTGGTTTTGATAAGAGAGCATGGCTCAGTACGCAAATGTGAAAAGAACAGACCTTGTGAAATGACGTGTGGGGCAAAATTCTATCCAGGTTTGTTGGTACGGATGTGACAATATATGGAAAAGCCAAAATATAAGTTCATAAGAATGTGAATTTTATGGCAATAAAGCAAAGTGACAACTAAATTTTGATTTAAAGCTTTCGTGACTGCAGTAATTCATATTCTTAACTCTTTCGGTAAAGTCACGTTGAAGGGAAACAATAAAAGATTAATTAAATATATATAAAACAATAATATATATTTTATTATTTTATTGTTTCCCTTCAACGTGACTTTACCGAAAGAGCTAAGAATACAAAGTGACAACTGTTTTACTGCGGTACTTTTAATGGTCAGATTCCTACCACCCAACCAATTTAAGCAGCAGGCTATGTAGTTTTTTTATCTTACCACATTGTTTTTCAAACTGACAATTACATTAAAACATTTAAAAATCGATGTTCATAAAGTGGTACAATTAGTTTTTGTATGATTAATGGCGTGATGTTTCCAGGTCCTCAAACGGTGGTGGTTTAATAAAACAAACTTGGCACAAATGTAGTTATTTTGACCTGGTGGCCTGTACAAGGCTGAGAGCTTTTGCCCATGCAATGCACCCCCGTGCGTGTTAAGAAATCGACTAATATGCATGAACAAGGCACTTCGATACTTTACTATCTTACTACAATCAATAGAATGCAACTGTGAACCAGTCTTGGCGATTGAATCAGAAGTTTATTTATTGATACATTAGCACTCATGTACCCCAACCACTACAAACCCCCGTTCACCACCAAGTGGCGCTGACGTCACTACGGCGATTGTGCCATGCTAGGTGCACTTTGAGGCAGTCCTTCGGGTCAGTCCTTCGAGGGCTTGCTCCACCAGATACGGACTCTTCTTTCTGCTTATTCCCTGCCGCTGGAATTCCCTGCTCATCACCGCCGCGGTGTCTTGGAGACGTTAAGGGGCTGTCCATAAATGACGTCACGCGATTTGGGCCGATTTTTGACCCCCCCCCCTCCCCCCCTCGTCACAAAAAGTCAGACCCCCCCTCAAATATGACGTCACAAAGCTCTGCCCCCCCCCCTCCAAAAACCATATTTCCATTTTGAAAATAAAACATGCTTCAAATCGCTTTAAACTATTGTCATTGTAGTGCGTATTTAATGTGGCGCTGCACTCTGATGTTGTAGGAGAAACATTTATTAAAAAGTCTATTTAATTAAGTAAAACGTGTTGTCTATATTTATTAAAAGTTGCGCATTTTGATGTGACGTCACATTTCTCAAACCCCCCCTCTCCCTCTCGTCACACATCGTCACAAATGTCTGACCCCCTCCCCCCCCCCTAGGTGCGTGACGTCATTTATGGATGGCCCCCTAACTACCTCGCCTGGTACACAGGAGTGCATGGGTTCGAACACCGACCCTGACGCCTGCTGCTGTATATTTGGAGTTTGCGCGTCTCTCTCTCTCCCCGTGGTCGCGTGGATTTTTCTCCAGCTCCCCCCCCGCCCTACACATTTAGAATCAACATCTCGCCTTTAGAGCATTTGGCTCCTGAAATAAATCTACACACGATGATAAGCCACTTCGTTGAGCTGTCATTTGTGGCCAGGTTGCTTCTGAAACACATTCCTGCGGAGGGAGCTGGTAGGAACGTTGGGTTGCTCGGTCAATGGCCAGGGTCAACGGCGGCACCACCACGTGGTGTATTTCGCAAATATGCCCGACTGTGAGGGCGGGCACAAGCCGGCGTGAGAAGGTTAAACGTTGAGTTTTATAAGGGCACCACGGGGTGACCAGCCCATCCCCACCCAGCCCCACCCCTCCCACCTCCCACCGAGCCCCACCTTCCCCACCCTCCCCACTCAGCCCCTCCCCACCCTTCCCACTCAGCCCCTCCCTTCCTCCCCACCCAGCCCCGCCCCACCCTCCCCACCCAGCACCTCCCCACCCAGCCCCTCCACTCTCCACCCAGCCCCTCCCCACCCTCCCCACCCAGCCCCACCCAGCCCCACCCCTCCTACCCCACTCAGCCCCACCCTCCCCACCCAGTCCCTCCCCACCCTCCCCCCCCAGCCCCTCCCCACCCAGCCCCTCCCCTCCCCACCCAGTCCCTCCCCACCCTCCCCACCCAGCCCCTCCCCTCTCCACCCAGCCCCTCCCCACCCAGCCCCACCCAGCCCCACCCCTCCTACCCCACTCAGCCCCACCCTCCCCACCCAGCCCTCCCCACCCTCCCCACCCAGCCCCTCCCCACCCTCCCCTCTCCACCCAGCCCTCCCCCCATTTTTGGATGCACGACGGACGGACGGACACAATAATCCCCTGTGGGCTGGTGGTGTAACCAGGAGGTTCCTACCACTAAAATAGTACAGCTCAGTGGGTCTTACCTGGTAAAATAAAAATAGGTTAGTTCCCCCCCCCCCCACCAAGCATCGAATAAACCTGCTCTATTCGAGGAACGTCGCCTTAGTTAATTCTGATCAAACCCCGTTTGTAGTGCTGCTTGTTGCTGGACGTTTTGTAGCCCGTGCCCCAGCATGCGAGTGAGTGCGATGACGTCACGTTAACTTTTGGCGGGAAAACGACCGTTGGTGGAGGAGGGGGGGAGGGAACACACCTGGAGGTGACGTCACCAGTGTTAAAGCTTCCTCTCGCCTCAGGTGCATTGCTGTTCGTTAATGTGTTTGAATTAATACCACTCGTTACATTTATAAACGCAAGCACCGTGTTTAGCGTTCACAAATTGCTTTGGATTTGTTAAAATCACACGGTAGGGGTGTTGTTATATTTTTTTATGTGACACGAGTAGCTTTGAGTGAGGAAGCGTCCCATCTGGGAGTGTTACTCTACCACTAATTATAACTTGTGGCGCACGGCAGGTGCTATAAATGTATTACACTAACATTGTCGCGTTTATCATTCATTTCACTCACTTCATAGGTGCGTCGAGTACCTATTTGACACTCAAATTCGCAATTTCGTCGGCGTCGCTGGGTCTTGCAATCCAGAGTGTCGCCGTGTTGATCTCCGGGCGCGGCAGCTGAAACATTGTTCCGAGTTTTTTTCTTGAAACTTCTTTCGCACCGTACGTAGCCAACCGTGCTAATGGCAGGTGTGGAAGAGTAGACCAAAGTACCCCCCCCCCTCCCTGGACTCTTAAGAGAAGCTCTCTTGTGGGAGGGCCTTTGCACCAGCAGTTGCACTCTTTACCTGTAACATCATCATCATCAGCCACGGTCAATCGACTGCGATGTAGTAATAATAATGATAATCCACCTTCTCACGTGCAGGCGAGCAGATTTCATCGCTCCATCTCCTCAGTGGATGGGCCTCCATGTCCGCGTTGCATTTCATTCGTGTGCAAATCACACATTTAACTAAACTCACCCTCAGATATTTAAAATGAAACACACCGTAAACACGTACATTTTCATCGGAACCTGGGTTTAAAACGCACAACTCAAATTTACCTCGAATTGCTTTTCAAAATGTGTGAACTTAACGCCATAGTTCCCCCACATTCACCAACCCGCACTTACCGGCGTGGTGAAGTATGGTCGTGCACCGCCCACGACTTGGACATACATGAAAAAGAGCTTCGCAGCTCATCGGATTTCTCCAGGATAAATAAAGACTTCGA